AATAACCGGTTTATATAAAATAACAATAACCGGTTTATATAAAATAACAATAACCGGTTTATATAAAATAACAATAACCGGTTTATATAAAATAACAATAACCGGTTTATATAAAATAACAATAACCGGTTTATATAAAATAACAATAACCGGTTTATATAAAATAAACAATAACCGGTTTATATAAAATAACAATAACCGGTTTATATAAAATAACAATAACCGGTTTATATAAAATAACAATAACCGGTTTATATAAAATAACAATAACCGGTTTATATAAAATAACAATAACCGGTTTATATAAAATAACAATAACCGGTTTATATAAAATAACAATAACCGGTTTATATAAAATAACAATAACCGGTTTATATAAAATAACAATAACCGGTTTATATAAAATAACAATAACCGGTTTATATAAAATAACAATAACCGGTTTATATAAAATAACAATAACCGGTTTATATAAAATAACAATAACCGGTTTATATAAAATAACAATAACCGGTTTATATAAAATAACAATAACCGGTTTATATAAAATAACAATAACCGGTTTATATAAAATAACAAATAACGGTTTATATAAAATAACAATAACCGGTTTATATAAAATAACAATAACCGGTTTATATAAAATAACAATAACCGGTTTATATAAAATAACAATAACCGGTTTATATAAAATAACAATAACCGGTTTATATAAAATAACAATAACCGGTTTATATAAAATAACAATAACCGGTTTATATAAAATAACAATAACCGGTTTATATAAAATAACAATAACCGGTTTATATAAAATAACAATAACCGGTTTATATAAAATAACAATAACCGGTTTATATAAAATAACAATAACCGGTTTATATAAAATAACAATAACCGGTTTATATAAAATAACAATAACCGGTTTATATAAAATAACAATAACCGGTTTATATAAAATAACAATAACCGGTTTATATAAAATAACAATAACCGTTTATATAAAATAACAATAACCGGTTTATATAAAATAACAATAACCGGTTTATATAAAATAACAATAACCGGTTTATATAAAATAACAATAACCGGTTTATATAAAATAACAATAACCGGTTTATATAAAATAACAATAACCGGTTTATATAAAATAACAATAACCGGTTTATATAAAATAACAATAACCGGTTTATATAAAATAACAATAACCGGTTTATATAAAATAACAATAACCGGTTTATATAAAATAACAATAACCGGTTTAATATAAAATAACAATAACCGTTTATATAAAATAACAATAACCGGTATTATATAACAATAAAGCAATAACCGGTTTATATAATACACAATTAACATCTATGTATTATTTAATCAGAGGGAGGAATGCGCTTCTAAACAAGAGCCTGACATTATACAGCGTCCTGGGAGGGGGGTGACTGTGGAAAGTGCATTACAGCTTTAATTCCGGGTGTATTAACTGGAGCACAGATCCAGTTTCCCTAGAATCAAGAGCCCTTCACACATAGGTGAACCTTCCTGAGCGGTGGTATAGCACGTGTGTCATAGTGTACTTAACACTGTGGCTATGCACCTGTGAGTACCTAGGTTAACTGTAACAAAAAGTGGTACTAGCACCTGTGTGTGCACTTCAGGTTGTCTTGGATCATTGAGCCTTGTTACCAGTGGGTGATATCCCTGGGCGTACTGGTGGTATAGCACCTGTGTGTGCACCTAGGTGTACTGTAACACTGTGGCTACTAGCACCTGTGTGTGCACCTAGGTGTACTGTAACACTGTGGCTACTAGCACCTGTGTGTGCACCTAGGTGTACTGTAACACTGTGGCTACTAGCACCTGTGTGTGCACCTAGTGTACTGTAACAACTGTGGATACTAGCACCTGTGTGTGCACCTAGGTGTACTGTAACACTGTGGATACTAGCACCTGTGTGTGCACCTAGGTGTACTGTAACACTGTGGCTACTAGCACCTGTGTGTGCACCTAGGTGTACTGTAACACTGTGGATACTAGCACCTGTGTGTACCTAGGTGTACTGTAACACTGTGGATACTAGCACCTGTGTGTACCTAGGTGTACTGTAACACTGTGGCTACTAGCACCTGTGTGTGCACCTAGGTGTACTGTAACACACTGTGGCTACTAGCACCTGTGTGTGCACCTAGGTGTACTGTAACACTGTGGCTACTAGCACCTGTGTATGCACCTAGGTGTACTGTAACACTGTGGATACTAGCACCTGTGTGTGCACCTAGGTGTACTGTAACACTGTGGCTACTAGCACCTGTGTGTACCTAGGTGTACTGTAACACTGTGGCTACTAGCACCTGTGTATGCACCTAGGTGTACTGTAACACTGTGGATACTAGCACCTGTGTGTGCACCTAGGTGTACTGTAACACTGTGGCTACTAGCACCTGTGTGTACCTAGGTGTACTGTAACACTGTGGCTACTAGCACCTGTGTGTGCACCTAGGTGTACTGTAACACTGTGGCTACTAGCACCTGTGTGTACCTTGGTGTACTGTAACACTGTGGCTACTAGCACCTGTGTGTGCACCTAGGTGTACTGTAACACACTGTGGCTACTAGCACCGGTGTGTACCTAGGTGTACTGTAACACACTGTGGCTACTACAACCTGTGTGTGCACCTAGGTGTACTGTAACACACTGTGGCTACTAGCACCTGTGTGTGCACCTAGGTGTACTGTAACACTGTGGCTACTAGCACCTGTGTGTGCACCTAGGTGTACTGTAACACACTGTGGCTACTAGCACCTGTGTGTGCACCTAGGTGTACTGTAACACACTGTGGCTACTAGCACCTGTGTGTGCACCTAGGTGTACTGTAACACACTGTGGCTACTAGCACCTGTGTGTACCTAGGTGTACTGTAACACTGTGGTTACTAGCACCTGTGTGTGCCTAGGTGTACTGTAACACTGTGGCTACTAGCACCTGTGTGTACCTAGGTGTACTGTAACACTGTGGCTACTAGCACCTGTGTGTGCACCTAGGTGTACTGTAACACACTGTGGCTACTAGCACCTGTGTGTACCTAGGTGTACTGTAACACTGTGGCTACTAGCACCTGTGTGTGCACCTAGGTGTACTGTAACACACTGTGGCTACTAGCACCTGTGTGTACCTAGGTGTACTGTAACACTGTGGCTACTAGCACCTGTGTGTGCCTAGGTGTACTGTAACACACTGTGGCTACTAGCACTTGTGTGTACCTAGGTGTACTGTAACACTGTGGCTACTAGCACCTGTGTGTACCTAGGTGTACTGTAACACATTGTGGCTACTAGCACCTGTGTGTGCACCTAGGTGTACTGTAACACACTGTGGCTACTAGCACCTGTGTGTGCACCTAGGTGTACTGTAACACTGTGGCTACTAGCACCTATGTGTTCACCTAGGTGTACTGTAACACAGTGGCTACTAGCACCTGTGTGTGCACCTAGGTGTACTGTAACACACTGTGGCTACTAGCACCTGTGGTGTGCACCTAGGTGTACTGTAAACACTGTGGCTACTAGCACCTGTGTGTGCACCTAGGTGTACTGTAACACACTGTGGCTACTAGCACCTGTGTGTGCACCTAGGTGTACTGTAACCACACTGTGGCTACTAGCACCTGTGTGTGCACCTAGGTGTACTGTAACACACTGTGGCTACTAGCACCTGTGTGTGCACCTAGGTGTACTGTAACACACTGTGGCTACTAGCACCTGTGTGTACCTAGGTGTACTGTAACACTGTGGCTACTAGCACCTGTGTGTGCACCTAGGTGTACTGTAACACTGTGGCTACTAGCACCTGTGTGTGCACCTAGGTGTACTGTAACACTGTGGCTACTAGCACCTGTGTGTGCACCTAGGTGTACTGTAACACTGTGGCTACTAGCACCTGTGTGTGCACCTAGGTGTACTGTAACACACTGTGGCTACTAGCACCTGTGTGCGCACCTAGGTGTACTGTAACATACTGTGGCTACTAGTACCTGTGTGTACCTAGGTGTAGTCTAACCCAGTGTGGTACTGGCAGTATGTGTCGTGTAGGTGAGTGTTGTAGCACTCAAGTGAGTGGTGGAGGTAGCACACACACTATGTACTACACACTGGGAAGCCATTATAGCAAGGTGGCCCATAGTTCTGGTTACATAGCGTGTCACTGCCCAGGGTGTGATGAGGGTGGTGCTGATCTCAGTGGTGGTGGTGGTGCTGGCGAACTGTGTAATGACCACTGTGGTGGTGAGGGTGGTGGTGATGTGGTTGTGTAGTGTGTAAGTGTGGGTGAGGCTTAGTGTCACAGTGTGGCTAACGAACATGGTTAACGAGGGTATTACCAAGTGGTTAGTGGTGTGACTGCTGCAGCTTGTAGCCCCACTGAAGAATGCACTGGAAGCACTGGACCCACTGAAGCAGGTAGTGGCTCCACTAGTGGAGGTAGTAGCCTCGTTGGAGGAGGCTGTAAACCCACTGGAATAAGTAGTTGACTTTCTGTTACTGTATGTAGTGGCTTGGCTCTTAAAGGTAGTGGCTTGGCTCATGTAAGTAGAGGCTTGGATGGAATAAATAGTGTCTTGGCTTATGGAGGAAGTGGATTTGTTGAGGCGAGTGACAGGCAGAGTGACTGTTGAATAAGTGGAGCTGTAAGTGGTAGTAACTGTGGTGGACCCATAGAAGTCTGAGAGTACTGTCTTTGTTGGTAAAAACCAGTGACTGAACCAGGAGAACGTTCTTGAACCTGTGGTGGAGGTTATACTGGAGATTGTGGTGGAGGAAGTTAGACTGGAGCTTGTGGTGGAGGAAGTTAGACTGGAGCTTGTGGTGGAGGAAGTTATACTGGAGCTTGTGGTGGAGGAAGTTAGACTGGAGCTTGTGGTGGAGGAAGTTAGACTGGAGCTTGTGGTGGAGGAAGTTAGACTGGAGCTTGTGGTGGAGGAAGTTAGACTGGAGCTTGGTGGAGGAGTTAGACTGGAGCTTGTGATGGAGGAAGTTATACTGGAGCTTGTGGTGGAGGAAGTTAGACTGGAGCTTGTGGTGGAGGAAGTTAGACTGGAGCTTGTGGTGGAGGAAGTTAGACTGGAGCTTGTGGTGGAGGAAGTTAGACTGGAGCTTGTGGTGGAGGAAGTTAGACTGGAGCTTGTGGTGGAGGAAGTTAGACTGGAGCTTGTGGTGGAAGAAGTTAGACTGGAGCTTGTGGTGGAGGAAGTTAGACTGCAGCTTGTGGTGGAGGAAGTTATACTGGGACTTGTGATGGAGGAAGTTAGACTGGGACTTGTGATGGAGGAAGTTATACTGGAGCTTGTGATGGAGGAAGTTATACTGGAGCTTGTGGTGGAGGAAGTTATACTGGAGCTTGTGATGGAGGAAGTTATACTAGAGCTTGTGGTGGAGGAAGTTATACTGGAGCTTGTGGTGGAGGAAGTTATACTGGAGCTTGTGGTGGAGGAAGTTATACTGGAGCTTGTGATGGAGGAAGTTATACTGGAGTTGTGATGGAGGAAGTTATACTGGAACTTGTGATGGAGGAAGTTAGACTGGGACTTGTGATGGAGGAAATTAGGCTGGACATTGTGATGGAGGAAGTTAGACTGCAGCTTGTGGTGGGGGAAGTTAGACTGGGACTTGTGATGGAGGAAGTTAGACTGGGACTTGTGATGGAGGAAATTAGACTGGACATTGTGATGGAGGAAATTAGACTGCAGCTTGTGGTGGGGGAAGTTAGACTGTTACTTGTGATGGAGGAAGCTAGACTGGGACTTGTGATGGAGGAAGTTAGACAGGGACTTGTGATGGAGGAAGTTAGACTGCAGCTTGTGGTGGGGGAAGTTAGACTGGGACTCGTGATGGAGGAATTTAGACTGGGACTTGTGATGGGGGAAGTTAGACTGGGACTTGTGGTGGAGGAAGTTAGACTGGGACTTGTGATGGGGGAAGTTAGACTGGGACTTGTGATAGGGGAAGTTACACTGGGACTTGTGATGGGGGAAGTTAGACTGGGACTTGTGATGGGGGAAGTTAGACTGGGACTTGTGATGGAGGAAGTTAGACTGGGACTTGTGGTGGAGGAAGTTAGACTGGGACTTGTGATGGGGGAAGTTAGACTGGGACTTGTGATGGGGGAAGTTAGACTGGGACTTGTGATGGGGGAAGTTACACTGGGACTTGTGATGGGGGAAGTTACACTGGGACTTGTGATGGAGGAAGTTAGACTGGGACTTGTGATGGAAGAAGTTAGACTGGGACTTGTGATGGAGGAAGTTAGACTGGGACTTGTGATGGGGGAAGTTAGACTGCAGCTTGTGGTGGAGGAAGTTAGACTGGGACTTGTGATGGAGGAAGTTAGACTGCAGCTTGTTGTGGAGGAAGTTAGACTGGGACTTGTGATGGAGGAAGTTAGACTGGGACTTGTGATGGGGGAAGTTAGACTGCAGCTTGTGGTGGAGGAAGTTAGACTGGGACTTGTGGTGGAGGAAGTTAGACTGGGACTTGTGGTGGAGGAAGTTAGACTGGGACTTGTGGTGGAGGAAGTTAGATTGGAACTTGTGGTGGGGGAAGTTAGACTGGTACTTGTGATGGGGGAAGTTAGACTGGGATTTGTGGCGGCGGAAGTTACACTGGGACTTGTGATGGAGGAAGTTAGACTGGGACTTGTGATGGAGGAAGTTAGACTGGACATTGTGATGGAGGAAGTTAGATTGGACATTGTGATGGAGGAAGTTAGACTGGGACTTGTGGTGGAGGAAGTTAGACTGGGACTTGTGATGGAGGAAGTTAGACTGGACATTGTGATGGAGGAAGTTAGACTGGGACTTGTGGTGGAGGAAGTTAGACTGGGACTTGTGATGGGGAAGTCAGACTGCAGCTTGTGGTGGAGGAAGTTAGACTGGGACTTGTGATGGAGGAAGTTAGACTGGACATTGTGATGGAGGAAGTTAGACTGGGACTTGTGGTGGAGGAAGTTAGACTGGGACTTGTGATGGGGGAAGTCAGACTGCAGCTTGTGGTGGAGGAAGTTAGACTGGGACTTGTGATGGAGGAAGTTAGACTGGGACTTGTGATGGAGGAAGTTAGACTGGGACTTGTGATGGAGGAAGTTAGACTGGGACTTGTGATGGGGGAAGTTAGACTGCAGCTTGTGATGGGGGAAGTTAGACTGGGACTTGTGATGGGGGAAGTTAGACTGGGACTTGTGATGGGGGAAGTTAGACTGGGACTTGTGATGGGGGAAGTTAGACTGGGACTTGTGATGGGGGAAGTTAGACTGCAGCTTGTGATGGGGGAAGTTAGACTGCAGCTTGTGGTGGAGGAAGTTAGACTGCAGCTTGTCATGGAGGAAGTTAGACTGCAGCTTGTGGTGGAGGAAGTTAGACTGGGACTTGTGGTGGAGGAAGTTAGACTGGGACTTGTGGTGGAGGAAGTTAGACTGCAGCCTGTGGTGGAGGAAGTTAGACTGCAGCTTGTGATGGAGGAAGTTAGACTGCAGCTTGTGATGGAGGAAGTTAGACTGCAGCTTGTGGTGGAGGAAGTTAGACTGCGACTTGTGGTGGAGGAAGTTAGACTGCAGCCTGTGGTGGAGGAAGTTAGACTGGGACTTGTGGTGGAGGAAGTTAGACTGCAGCTTGTGGTGGAGGAAGTTAGACTGCAACTTGTGGTGGAGGAAGTTAGACTGCAGCCTGTGGTGGAGGAAGTTAGACTGCAGCTTGTGATGGAGGAAGTTAGACTGCAGCTTGTGGTGGAGGAAGTTAGACTGCGACTTGTGGTGGAGGAAGTTAGACTGCAGCCTGTGGTGGAGGAAGTTAGACTGCAGCTTGTGATGGAGGAAGTTAGACTGCAGCTTGTGGTGGAGGAAGTTAGACTTGGACTTGTGGTGGAGGAAGTTAGACTGCAGCTTGTGATGGGGGAAGTTAGACTTGGACTTGTGGTGGAGGAAGTTAGACTAGAGGGGGAGGTTATACTCAGTCTAGTGTTCTTCTTAAAGAACACAATGTTCTTGGCCAGGTCAAGAACATTAACCATCATATCAAAAACACTGAAAATATTGTTGAAAGAACTGATCAATGCTAGAGAGTCTTGTGGCTTGTTTACTGGGGGTACATTTGGTGGGGTCAGGTGGTAAGACCCCTGATGTACAGGTATGCGGGTCAGGTAGGGTTCCCCAGGGAAAGGATGTGGCGGGGTATGGTGATTTGAGCCCAGGTATAAAGCTGCTGGGGTCAGGTGGGATGTCATAGAATGCACAGGGGTTGTCAGTTGAGTTGACCCCAGGTATAAAGCTGCTGGGGTCTGGTAAGTTGTCCCCTGAGGTACATGTGCCGGGGTCAGGTGAGTTGACCCCTGAGGTACATGTGCCGGGGTCAGGTGAGTTGACCCCTGAGGTACATGTGCCGAGGTCAGGTGAGTTGACCCCTGAGGTACATGTGCCGGGGTCAGGTGAGTTGACCCCTGAGGTACATGTGCCGAGGTCAGGTGAGTTGACCCCTGAGGTACATGTGCTGGGGTCAGGTGAGTTGACCCCTGAGGTACATGTGCTGGGGTCAGGTGAGTTGACCCCTGAGGTACATGTGCTGGGGTCAGGTGAGTTGACCCCTGAGGTACATGTGCTGGGGTGAGGTGTATTGACCCCTGATACAAGTGTAAAGGTGTCAGTCCATAAGGGGACGCAGGTGTCAGTCCCCTAGGTGACGCAGGTGTCAATCCACCAGGTAATATAGGTGTCAGTCCACCAGGTGACACAGGTGTCAGTCCACCAGGTGGCTCGTGTGTCAGTCCACCAGGTGACACAGGTGTCAGTCCACCAGGTGACACAGGTGTCAGTCCACCAGGTGGCTCATGTGTCAGTCCACCAGGTGACACGTGTGTCAGTCCACCAGGTGACACAGATGTCAGTCCACCAGGTGACACAGGTGTCACTCCAGGTGACACAGGATAAGCCAGAGACACGTAGAAGGTAAATATATCTTTATGAGAATCTTTGTAATCGACTATGTTATTATGGAAGGTTTGGTATTGAGGAAGCAAGCCCCGTGGCTTGCTGGCTTGTAGAAAGCCGGTGTATAGGCGTGGCGTTGTGTGTATAGCAGTGTGTATTGTGTGTGATATAGCAGTGTCTAGAGTGCGTGGTGTGTGTAGAGTGCGTTTAGGAGTGTGTAGGATGTGTTTAGGAGTGTGTAGGGTGCTTGTAGGAGGGTGTAGGATGCGTGGAGTGTGTAGACTGCGTTTGGGAGTGGGTAGGATGTGTTTAGGAGTGTGTAGGGTGCTTGTAGGAGGGTGTAGGATGCGTGGAGTGTGTAGACTGCGTTTGGGAGTGGGTAGGATGTGTTTAGGAGTGTGTAGGGTGCTTGTAGGAGGGTGTAGGATGCGTGGAGTATGTCGAGTACTTTTAGGAGTATTTAGGATGGGGTTAAAAATGTATAGGCCGCGTTTAGCAGCAGTGTGTATGGTTGTGTGTGGTCGTGTCAGCAGTGGTATCACCGGTGTCAACCAGTGTTGAGGGTTGTGCACTAGGGTCGTGACAGCCTCCGTCTTCCCCGTGACAGGCAGCGTCCTCAGTGACGCGGTGGGGTGTATCCAGGAGTTGTGTGTCCACTCTGTATCCATCAGCATCGTGAGTGAGGACACTTCTTCTTTGTAAGTTATCTTGAAGTTATCACTTGGTCTGTAGGTGGATGGATTAACGTAGTTATCTTGACCAGCTTGTAAAGTAGCAGCAGTGGGTGATACTGTAGTTAACACGAGATTTGTCTTCACTTGCGGGACTTGGGGTAAAATTGTCTTCGTGTTTAAGATAGGTAGTGATGTGTTTTGTGATGTGTGTGGGAGTGTAAAGAAATGTACTGGTGTCAGAACTTGACTCTGAATTAGTCTTAACGCAGTCTGATAATAGGTGTTTACTGGACTGTCAATAACTTTCAGAACGCCAGCACCTGCCACACACTCATTACATACCATAAACAATCCAGTCGAACAGAAAGGAAAAACATGTATGTTTTCTGAACAAGTTTGCCCACCTTCACGATTTTCTCTGACGAGAGATTGTCCCACATCTGATATTGATTTCCTGTCTGTTTTCACCACACCATGGGAACCACTATAGCCGTGAGGTGTCATTATTCCAGCAGTAAGTTGTGTTTGTCCAGATGGAGAAGGCTGGTAGGTAAGATGGAAGGTTGAGATGAAAGATATGGGACGAGGCACCATCATTGAAGGGCGAGCAGAAGCGGCTCTTGGAGTCATGGGTTTAGAGACGCGTCCTGCTGTCTTGTAAGCAGGAATCCAGGCTAGGAAGCAGGTGAACAGCAACAGCAGTAGCAGCAACGGCACACGCCAGGTCACTGTTCTGCACCTGTATACAGTACAAAATAAACGTATTTAATTATTATCCTTCAAAATTAAGTTCAATACAACCTCCTAAGTTATTTTCTGATACATATCTTGTGGTATTTGTAAAATAATTCCGAAGTCAATCTGTACATTCCTTATATCGAGAGTCAATGATATATATACCGAGAAGTATGTAGTTGTGTATATATACAATGATGTGTGTGTATCTATGTATATACACTGAGATGTTTGTATCTGTCAGTGTATATACGCTGAGAGTTCTCATTAGTCACTATTTTAGTTAGAGTAGTCTTAATGACCCTCTAGACTTGATGACATGCAGTATTAATTACCCTCGTGTAGTGGATAGACTTGATGACATGCAGTATTAATTACCCTCGTGTAGTGGATAGACTTGATGACATGCAGTATTAATGACCCTCGTGTAGTGATGACATGCAGTATTAATGACCCTCGTGTAGTGATGACATGCAGTATTAATGACCCTCGTGTAGTGATGACATGCAGTATTAATGACCCTCGTGTAGTGATGACATGCAGTATTAATGACCCTCGTGTAGTGATGACATGCAGTATTAATGACCCTCGTGTAGTGATGACATGCAGTATTAATGACCCTCGTGTAGTGATGACATGCAGTATTAATGACCCTCGTGTAGTGATGACATGCAGTATTAATGACCCTCGTGTAGTGATGACATGCAGTATTAATTACCCTCGTGTAGTGGATAGACTTGATGACATGCAGTATTAATGACCCTCGTGTAGTGGATAGACTTGATGACATGCAGTATTAATGACCCTCGTGTAGTGGATAGACTTGATGACATGCAGTATTAATTACCCTCGTGTAGTGGATAGACTTGATGACATGCAGTATTAATGACCCTCGTGTAGTGATGACATGCAGTATTAATGACCCTCGTGTAGTGATGACATGCAGTATTAATGACCCTCGTGTAGTATGGTTGATGATATAGTCTTAATGACCCTCGTGTAGTGGATAGACTTGATATAGTCTTAATGACCCTCGTGTAGTGGATAGACTTGATATAGTCTTAATGACCCTCGTGTAGTGGATAGACTTGATATAGTCTTAATGACCCTCGTGTAGTGGATAGACTTGATATATGTCTTAATGACCCTCGTGTAGTGGATAGACTTGATATAGTCTTAATGACCCTCGTGTAGTGGATAGACTTGATATAGTCTTAATGACCCTCGTGTAGTGGATAGACTTGATATAGTCTTAATGACCCTCGTGTAGTGGATAGACTTGATATAGTCTTAATGACCCTCGTGTAGTGGATAGACTTGATATAGTCTTAATGACCCTCGTGTAGTGGATAGACTTGATATAGTCTTAATGACCCTCGTGTAGTGGATAGACTTGATATAGTCTTAATGACCCTCGTGTAGTGGATAGACTTGATATAGTCTTAATGACCCTCGTGTAGTGGATAGACTTGATATAGTCTTAATGACCCTCGTGTAGTGGATAGACTTGATATAGTCTTAATGACCCTCGTGTAGTGGATAGACTTGATATAGTCTTAATGACCCTCGTGTAGTGGATAGACTTGATATAGTCTTAATGACCCTCGTGTAGTGGATAGACTTGATATAGTCTTAATGACCCTCGTGTAGTAGATACATTCGATATCATGCAGTATTAATGACCCTCGTGTAGTGGATAAGCTTTAAATCCCTGTAATGAATCACCTCTCTCACTTTAGTTAGCTCTCTCTCTCTCTGTTATCAACACCAGTACACCAGACAGGTTCTTGCATACCATTGACTGGTTTTGCGAGTATATTATTTACCACAAGTATTGGGGAGTATTGATGGCTCTTCCTCACCTCCCCAACACTCCCTCAGCCTCCCCAACACTCCCTCAGCCTCCCCAACACTCCCTCAGCCTCCCCAACACTTTACCACTTATGTGTTTACAAGCAACAGCAGTGCAGTAGATAGCAACACTTACCAGCACTTGTCCATAATATTAAATTGCAGTGTCTTAACGTTGAAGTGACCTTGTAACAGGTCACTGTTGCGTGGGCCAGCAGTGCTCCTTGTGTGGGCCAGCAGTGCTCCTTGTGTGGGCCAGCAGTGCTCCTTGCTCGACTCAGCAGTGCTCCTTGCTTGACTCAGCAGTGCTCCTTGCTTGACTCAGCAGTGCTCCTTGCTTGACTCAGCAGTGCTCCTTGCTTGACTCAGCAGTGCTCCTTGCTTGACTCAGCAGTGCTCCTTGCTTGACTCAGCAGTGCTCCTTGCTCGACTCAGCAGTGCTCCTTGCTCGACTCAGCAGTGCTCCTTGCTTGACTCAGCAGTGCTCCTTGCTTGACTCAGCAGTGCTCCTTGCTTGACTCAGCAGTGCTCCTTGCTCGACTCAGCAGTGCTCCTTGCTTGACTCAGCAGTGCTCCTTGCTCGACTCAGCAGTGCTCCTTGCTCGACTCAGCAGTGCTCCTTGCTCGACTCAGCAGTGCTTCTTGCTCGACTCAGCAGTGCTCCTTGCTCGACTCAGCAGTGCTCCTTGCTCGACTCAGCAGTGCTCCTTGCTCGACTCAGCAGTGCTCCTTGCTTGACTCAGCAGTGCTCCTTGCTTGACTCAGCAGTGCTCCTTGCTTGACTCAGCAGTGCTCCTTGCTCGACTCAGCAGTGCTCCTTGCTTGACTCAGCAGTGCTCCTTGCTCGACTCAGCAGTGCTCCTTGCTCGACTCAGCAGTGCTCCTTGCTTGACTCAGCAGTGCTCCTTGCTTGACTCAGCAGTGCTCCTTGCTCGACTCAGCAGTGCTCCTTGCCTGAACCAGCAGTGCTCCTTGCTTGACTCGGCAGTGCTTCTTGCTCGACTCAGCAGTGCTCCTTGCTTGACTCAGCAGTGCTCCTTGCTCGACTCAGCAGTGCTCCTTGCTCGACTCAGTAGTGCTTCTTGCTTGACTCAGCAGTGCTCCTTGCTTGACTCAGCAGTGCTCCTTGTTCGACTCAGCAGTGCTCCTTGCTTGACTCAGCAGTGCTTCTTGCTCGACTCAGCAGTGCTTCTTGCTTGACTCAGCAGTGCTCCTTGCTTGACTCAGCAGTGCTCCTTGCTTGACTCAGCAGTGCTCCTTGCTCGACTCAGCAGTGCTCCTTGCTCGACTCAGCAGTGCTTCTTGCTTGACTCAGCAGTGCTCCTTGCTCGACTCAGCAGTGCTCCTTGCTTGACTCAGCAGTGCTCCTTGCTTGACTCAGCAGTGCTCCTTGCTTGACTCAGCAGTGCTCCTTGCTTGACTCAGCAGTGCTCCTTGCTTGACTCAGCAGTGCTCCTTGCTTGACTCAGCAGTGCTTCTTGCTTGACTCAGCAGTGTTCCTTGCTTGACTCAGCAGTGTTCCTTGCTTGACTCAGCAGTGTTCCTTGCTTGACTCAGCAGTGCTCCTTGCTTGACTCAGCAGTGTTCCTTGCCTGAACCAGCACAGCAATGCTCCTTGACTCAGCAGTGCTTCTTGCTTGACTCAGCAGTGTTCCTTGCTTGACTCAGCAGTGCTCCTTGCTTGACTCAGCAGTGCTCCTTGCTTGACTCAGCAGTGCTCCTTGCTCGACTCAGCAGTGCTCCTTGCTTGACTCAGCAGTGTTCCTTGCTTGACTCAGCAGTGCTTCTTGCTTGACTCAGCAGTGCTCCTTGCCTGAACCAGCAGTACTCCTTGCTTGACTCAGCAGTGCTTCTTGCTTGACTCAGCAGTGCTCCTTGCTTGACTCAGCAGTGCTTCTTGCTTGACTCAGCAGTGCTCCTTGCCTGAACCAGCAGTGCTCCTTGCTTGACTCAGCAGTGCTTCTTGCTTGACTCAGCAGTGCTTCTTGCTTGACTCAGCAGTGCTCCTTGCCTGAACCAGCAGTGCTCCAGGAACCTTCACCTTACACTGGGACGCTCACTTAGTCCCTCAGCTGTCCTCACCTCTCATTCCTGTCTTTCCAGGTTCCCTCCCCCTCCCCCCTACCTCCTACCTCCCCCTCCCCCCTACCTCCCCCTCCTACCTCCCCCTCCCCCCCTACCTCCTACCTCCCCCTCCCCCCTACCTCCCCCTCCTACCTCCCCCTCCCAAGTAATTATGTGGTTCGTGGTTTTGTTTTGTCGTGAAATAAGACAAGTTCCTATAACATGTGTTATGGACACACAGGTGTCTATAACACCACTTTGAAGACAAGTGTTATGTATGGTATTTCATGCATTAAGTAGTGACTAATCGTGTAAGCTGGAGAGAGAGAGAGAGAGAGAGAGAGAGAGAGAGAGAGAGAGAGAGAGAAGAGAGAGAGAGAGAGAGAGAGAGAGAGAGAGAGAGAGAGAGAAACATTGCCCCAAAAAAACTAAACAGATCACAGTAAAGAGACTGAATAATCCCTGGCTAACACCCAGCATCCTCAAATCAAAGCACAAATATGAAAAACAGTATAGAATGGGTCAAATAACTAGAGAAGAGTCTAAAAGTTACTCGTCAGCACTTACCAGCCTGATAAGATGATCTAAAAAATTGTATTATGAAAATAGACTATGTAACATCAAAGGTGATATGAAAAAAACCTGGAAAACTCTCAAACTAACAAAATCAGATGAACCCCTACTCACACCTACTGAAACACCTGACTTAATATTTTCTTCTCCACCATAGGTAAAAATCTAGCGAACAAAATACCAAGCGTAAATACCCATCTATCAGACTAACTCAGAGGTACCTACCCAAATACGTTATTCCTAGCTCCAACCAACCCCATAGAAGTTACACTCATCATAAACACCCTTAAAAACAAGACAGGAAACGTAAACAGCTTGCCTGCTTTTATGTACTAAAAAGCTCAAGTATTGCCACCAATTATTGCAACACTCTTTAACAAATCCATTGAATCAGCTACCTTCCCAACAATCCTCAAAATAGCGAGAGTCACTCCGATCCACAAAGGAGGTGATCAAGCTGACTTGAATAACTATAGACCAATATCTAACTTACCACTACTCTCTAAAATCTTTGAAAAATTAATGCATAGACAGACCTATTCCTACCTCGTCTGACACAACATATTAAACCCTTGTCAGTTTGGATTCAGGAATAATAAAAGCACAAATGATGCTATCATACACATGCTAGAACTAATATATACCTCACTTGAAAAGAAAGAAGTCCCGCTGGGCATTTTCATTGATTTACGTAAAGCTTTCGATACAGTCGACCATGAACTGCTGTACTCCAAATTAAAGCACTATGGTATCAGAGGCCACTCCCTCAGCTGCCTAAAGTCATACCTTAGTAACAGAACTCAATGTGTATGCAAATGATGCAAACTCTTCCACCCAACCAATCACAGTAGGAGTCCCACAAGGAAGCGTCCTTGGACCACTCCTCTTTCTCCTCTACATCAATGATCTACCAAATGCATCACAGCTACTCAAACCCATATTATTTGCATATGACACTACATATGTCTTTTCCCACCCAAACACGGTCATACTAGCAAACACAGTCAATGCCGAATTGCAGAAAATATCTGCCTGGATGATGACTAATAAACTTACCCTGAATACTAATAAAACCTATTTCATTCAGTTTGGAAACAAAGCTGCAAATGATTCAATTAACATAACACTAAATGGATCATCAGTCACAAGACTCACAGAGGGAAAATTCCTAGGTATCCACCTTGACAGTAGCCTTAAGTTCCGGACATACATACAACAAATCACCAAGAAAATCTCCAAGACTGTAGGCATACTATCAAAGATAAGGTACTACATTCCACAATCAGCTCTCCTGGCACTGTACCATACACTCATATACCCTTATCTTACATATGGAATTTGTGCATGGGGATCAACAACATCCAATCGTCTAAAACCCCTAATAACCCAGCAAAAGGCAGCAGTAAGAATGATAACAAATTCCAACTTCTGCCAGCACACACCACCAATTTTCAAAAGTTTGAATCTGCTCACCATTAAGAACATCCATACTTATTCATGTGCCTACTACATACACACAACAATACACGCAAATATAAACCCTCCACTCAAACTTCTCCTCACCAACCTAAACAGGACACATGACCACAACACAAGACACAGATCTCTTTGATATACCTTGTGTCCTTATCACACTGCGTAAAAACTCTGTGCACATAAAGGGCCCTTAAATATGGAATTCATTACCAGAAGATATTGAAGTAACCCAGTCTGAAAACCAGTTTAAGACTCTTCTCAAAAGCCACTTAATCACCCTAGACTAAATGCTAAATACTCAGTACACACTCACCTATGTACTCCCACATCATAACTTCAACAATCACTTTGAACCTTTTATCCATTGTTGACAGAAATATAATTGAACCATTGTTTTCACAAAAAGCATTTTAGACAATATGAATATATCCTTTGTCTTATACAAATTTAATTCACTTATAATTAATAATCTACTGTTCAACTATGAAATAATTACTGTCCTACTGTACAACTATGATAAAATCCTTAGTGTTAAGTAGTCTGTAAAACAATAATGTTAAGTTGGCCCATAAGGCCTAGGCATAATAGAGGCTCAATTTGCATTGCAACCCACTATTGTAAATATAAAATCTCAATGTACTGTTTGCAAAGATATAAAATAAATAAAATAAGAGAGAGAGAGAGAGAGAGTGAGAGAGAGAGTGAGAGAGTGAGAGAGAGAGGGAGAGTGAGAGAGTGAGAGAGAGAGTGAGAGAGAGAGTGAGAGAGAGAGAGTGAGAGAGAGAGAGTGAGAGAGTGAGTCCCACTCATCACTAATCTAGCGGCTGGTTAAGGAGACACTGCCTGGTGATAGACGACAGATAATTTAGCTTACCTGGCTGGAAAGCTAATAACAATATGGGATTATTCTAGTTGTGGTGGAGGTCACACTGTGTATGTATGACCAACTTGAACCATAGTGAACCCAGCTCTAGTACCCGGGTTCAGTCTTACTAAACCAGAGGTCATAGAAGGGTATGTTTACCTCACATAAATTATAATTAGACACATGTCCAATATGATATCCTGTCTAAATCTATATCAGTGTTTCTCCATTTTTCCATAGTCTCTAAATCTATCTATATAGTTTTTAAATCTATATCAGTGTTTCAT